TTTTTAATCAATTTGTGCAATTTTCCATATAAATAAACCTTTCAGTTTTCTGAAATTATCATAATTTTATTTTTTAAATATGACCCAAGATGCCGCATTGAAATTAGTTGTAGAAATATTTAGAATTCAATGACATTGGCAATTTTGGCATTATTCTTTTGAAAGTTTGGACAATTTTGCAAATACACTGATAATTTCCTTTTTCAACTTACAATGAATTATAAAAATTAGTTTGTAATTAAAGAATTAATTTGGAATTATTTGGAATTACTGGAATTTTAGAATTGAATTCTTATTTTTTGGGTTTCTTAGCAGATTTTTGCATTTTAGTGTGCATTTTAAGTTTCAGTTTCACTTTTGAAGTGTTTAATTTAGCCCGCGATACAATAAGTATTTAGAATGAAATGTTTTAGTAATTTGGGTTAACTAAATATTTTTGCAATCGTAAGTTATTTACATTTACATCTCAATTTCACTTGCGTTTATTTGAATTTTTACTGAAAAAATAACTGCAATTTCAGGATGCTGCAGCATTGGAAAAACGGCTGCGAAAATGTTACCTCAAACGCTTAATAACGACCTATCAATACTACTACTGCAAAGATAGTAAGAACCGTTTCATGATAATTCCAAATTTGCTGAAATAATTTCAGTGGTGGCCAAATTTGTCGGCGAACCTGCCAACATCGAAGTCGAAAACCAACTTCTCCAATCGGCGAAAAACCTCTACGAGCCCGATTCCCGTCCGAAAATCGCTCCTCCTTTAGCGGGAACGCGAAAAGGTAATTATTTTCGGTTAAAGGTCCGTTTTTGCCGCACATTTGGCTTGGCTTCGGGCCAAAACAAGCAAACGAATCACCATCACCAATTATTTCATTAAAAGATATATGGATGTCGCTGTGTGGGGTGCCTGCCTCGGTGATTTATGCGTTATTTTGGCGTTTTTAATTTTCCACGAAATATGATGTCAAATTGCGAAAACACTGTTTTTTTCTATATACAGGGTGGTGTAGAATTTTTATTTATTTATGATTGTAACAAATCAGATTTTATTTTAGTTTTTTAGCTAGAAATTTACCCAATTTAAAAAATTTTGCTGAAAAAATTTGCAAAAGCTTCCAGTTTTGTTCAATACTGTTATTATTATTTTAATTATTGCACAAAAGATATGAAAATATAAATGAAATAAAATGAAAATAGGAAATACAACTAAAAAAATTGCAGAGTATCTAAACTAACTAAAAACATTATTACTTTTAAAAAACTGAGAAGCTACTTGAATGAGAAACAATTCACTGAATTGAAAATAACTTAGATAATTTTTGAGCCAGAAATTCACCCAATTGAAAAGATTTTGCTGAAAAAAGTTAGAAAATCGTTGTTTTAGATACGAATTGCGATTTTTCAGTAAATTCCGGGAGGTTTTYTATCGTTTTTGAGCCAGAATATTACCTTTTTTAGRAAATTAGTTTTTCTCCATCAACTTTTTTAATCAATTTGTGCAAATTTTCCATATAATGAAACCTTTCAGTTTTCTGAAATTATTATAATTTTGTTTTTTAAATATGACCCGAGATGCCGATGCCGTATTGAAATTAGTTGTAATCTAATGAAATTGACACAGTATTTAGAATTTTTGAAATTATCTGTAAATTAGATGGAATTTCTGGAATTATTTTGGAATTATAGGTTTTTTTTTGGAAATGTCGGATTACTAACATTTGAGAAAAAGAAAGTAAATTTTGGCAATATTCTTTCAGAGGTTTGGACAAGTTTGCAAATACACTGGTATTTTTTTTCAACTTACAATGAATTATTAAAATTAATTTGTAATTAAAGAATTAATTTGGAATTATTTGAAAAGAGTGGAATTAGTAGAAATTTTGTAGAAATGGAAATAATTATATATTATATTTATGTAAAATTGAATTCTTAACAAAAAAATAATTTTTTTGTAAAATTTGAAGAATATTTTGGAATTCTTAGATTTTTGCATTTTTTAGTGACAATCTGTGCAATTTTTTCACGAAATATAATGTCAAATTGCTGAAACACTGATTTTTTTTCTATCTACAGTGTGATTTTTAAAAAACAACAAGCGRTGAAGCATTTTTATTTATTTAAAATGATAACAAATTGGATTTTATTTTATTTTTTGGAGCTAGAAATTTACCCAATTAAAAAAGTTAGAAAAAAATTTGCAAAAGTTTCCAGTTTTGTTCAATTTGTTATTATTATTTTAATTATTACACAAAAGATATAAATAAAATAGGAAATACAACTAGAATTAATAAAATAATATTGGGTAAAAACACTCTTTTTTTGTTTAAAAACGTTAAAAAAAACTTCAAATTTTATAAACTAAAAACATAATTACTTTAAAAAAACTGAGAAGCAACTTGAATGAGAAACAATTCACTGAATTGAAAAGAATTTAGATAATTTTTTAGCCAGAAATTCACCCAATTTAAAAGATTTTGCATAACCAGGCAAAAAAATCATTGTTTTGGGTGTGAATGTCGTTATTTCAGCAAATTATGACAGGTTTAAATTATTTAAAAGTTTAAATGTAAATAATTATGTAGAAAAAAGGCGTAAAACTAACAAAAAATAAAAAATTGGATTTCTTAAATTATGACAACCTTGTTTTTTTGAAACTAGTTGTACAAATATTTGGAACTCAATAAAATTGGCACAGAATTATTTTAAAAGTATTTGGTATTATTGAAATTATCTGGAACTACTAGGATTTTTTGGAATTATAAGAGCTTTTTTAGTAATTACATGGAAATGTGGGAAAACATTTGGCAGAAAAAATGATTTTTTAGTATGAAACTTTTTAAAATTAAGTTAGTTTTTTGTAGTTTGAATTTCTGAAAACACTCGTAATTTTGTTTTTTAACTTACAATGAATTATTAGAATTAGTTTGTAATTAAAGAATTATTTGAAAACAGTAGAATTACTGTAATTTTAGTAGTATTATATTTATGTAGAATTGAATTCTTAACAAAAAAATTTATTTTTTGCAAAATTTAAAAATAGTTTTTGTGTTTATTAGATTTTTGCATTTTAGTGATAATCTGTGCAATTTTTCTACGAAATATGATGTCAAATTGCTAAAATACTGATTTTTTTATCTACAGGGTGTTTTTTTTTAAAAACGGCAAACGCTGTAGAATTTTTATTTATTTATAACGAATCAGATTTTATTTTATCTTTTGAGCTAGAAATTCACCCATTTTAAGAGATTTAAAAATTTAAATATAAATAATTATTTAAGAAAAAAGCGTAAAATTAACAAAGAACAAAAAATAGGATTTTGTAAATAATGACAACCTTGTTTTTTTAAAATTAGTTTTACAAATATTTGGAATTCAATAAAAGTAACAATAAAATTATTTAGTATTATTAAAATTATCTGGAATTACTGGAATTATTTTGGAATTTTGAGTGTTTTTTTTTAGTAATTACATGAAAATGTGGGAGATTACACACATTTGGTGGAAAAAAATGAATTTTTAACATGAAGCTTATGAATATTAGAACATTTTTTTTTAGTTTGCATACGGGTAATTTCCTTTTCTAAGTCACAATAGATTATAAAAATTAATTTGTAATTAAAGGAATTAATTTGGAATTATAATAACTAACTTGAAAATCGTGAAATTTTACTGGAATTACTAAAGTTTTAGTGGA